GGTATTTTTAGAAATTCTATTGTGAGTCCTTTTTTTCTTCCTGGCAGGGGCGGATACAAGAATTTATTTTAGGGGGCCCAAAATAAAAAGTAATGTAGAATATACTTTTTAGGGCGCCATTTTTAACCCAAAAGCCTAATATTTAACACAAGTCACAGATTTTAGGGGGGGCCCTGACCCCATGGGCCCCCCCTTTGTATCCGCCACTGCTTCCTGGAAATCTAACAGGTGATATGTACTTAGATTTACTGGAAAATACCATCGACCCAGCCCTAACTGACATCATAGAGAACAATCCTGGATACGTTGAAGCAGAACTAATATTTCAACAAAACGGTGCACCTCCACATTACTCTCAAAACGTGCGTAATTATTTAAACAATAACTTTCCCGTTCGGTGGATAAGACGAAGGGGTGCAATTGAGTAGCCTCCCCGGTCACCCGATTTGACTCCTTTAGACTTTGTTCTATGGGGATACATAAAAAGTAAAGTGTATAGCACTCCACCCGCCTCATTAGAAGACCTGCGAAGACGAATTATCGATGTTTGTCGCGAAGTGACCCCGCAAGTTCTTCAGAACGTTCTAGAACGGATTGAAAATAATTTGTTTTACTGTATGGAGGTTGACGGGCAACATTTTCATCATTTGCTTCATTAATAAGATAAGTTTTTTTTAATTAATTCAATTTAGGCGTTTTTTGCAAAAAGTACTTTTCAAATTTCAATCTTTCATATTTTCAAAATGACTCGACCGATTTTCAAAAACGAAGTGGGGAAATATAGAGAATAAAAAGCCCTTTTCATTGAGACGCCACTTGACCCCTTCCCATTTGAAAAAAGTTGGGGGATGACACCTCCGCTTAGAGGGTTGAAGATTTTGCAATCATTTTTGGGGCAAAACTTGTCCCCCTCACAAACAAAATTGACGTGTTTTTGGATTTTTTGAAAAAAAAATACCCTGGCTGTTATGCCTTGCGGAACGTTTTCGATGGGCCACCCTGTATATCAAAACTTTATAAATTTTTTCTTCTATTCGGCTATTTTAGATCTAATATAAATATACTAAAAGTTTATGTAATTGAGAGGTGCTCTGGTGTTTCCCCATTTTTCTCCACAGAATCTGCATTCGCCGTTGTTTCTTAGTTTCAATCTACTGACGTGTTCCTTGGGGAGACAATGTCCTGTTGAAAGCTCCGTGACAATCCAATTGTTTTACTTAAATCAACATAAAATTATAAAGACAGAGTGTTCTGAGTTATTAAGTTGGAGGATTGCCATTCCAGGTTACGGATGGAGTTTTCCAGGTTCTTAAGTTGCGCTGTAACTTGGTTTCCACTTGGGAAGCAGAACGGTTCTGGTTCAATTAGTGGAGTATTCCCTCCTTTTTTAGCTGGATTGTTGCTTTTTCATTACCTCCTATCCTGGTGGGGTTCACTACCCAGAGTCGAACGAACTTATGTTCTTTGCCGAATTTGTTGAATTACGCATCCACAAATATTACATTTACATAAATATTCCTTCGCTTTCTTTTCTGCACAAACGAGTGGGAGCAGCGAAAGACACAGATTAACAATTTTTGACAGCATTGTGGCGATAAACATTTTATTTAACATTTTATAAATATTTTTTTTTTTGAGTTTGGTATGTAAAAAAGAGGACTTTTTCAATATGCGAGAGAAAAGGGGACACACAGTGCTTCGTCCCATGGACAAAAATAAAAAAATAAGTTAAAATTTACTAATATCTGAATATATAATTTTATACTTATAGCAATGTTCAACCATCCTATATATTATTTTTCATAAACAGCGTTTTTGTTAGCAAATATTTTCACTAAAAATAAATTTTGCGATCATTATCTCATCAGTGAAAAGAATAACATTCATAGTAGTTCTGTATATTATGGAGTTAAACGGGTACGTACTTAATTGAAAGCCACTATGGATATTGTTAAACAAGGTATGTACTTTAAATTTATTTCTAAACAAGTTCGTGATTGTTTAGTTTTTATTTATTTTTTAAAATGATTCTTAAATGGGTATAAAATTTTTACGTTTTCAAACTTCAAAAAGGCATTTAAAAAAAAACATATCAAAACATATCGTATTTATTGAATATTTTTGTTGCCATATTCATACACTTTTAATTTTTGTATAGTTCACCTGCGTCTGCTTGCGACGAACTTTTATTTTATAATACTTTTCAGATGGAGTAAAATTGATAAGCAATGCCGATCTGGCTAATACTTGGCTTGATCATAAGGACAAGAACTCAAAATTATTTGTATTTCAAAAAATATGTTCTTATTAGATATTGATGAACCTTCCAGTCAAATGAGACACCACTTGTGCCTGAAAAAGTCCACTATGTTGGAGCGAAACGTCGAATAAAAAAAGTGTCCATCTTTCAGTTTATTATAAAATCTCATACCCAAGAAAAGGAAAAAATAATATATGCATATGGTCTATTAAAGAGGTAACTATTAACATCCGAACCCCTCATACCGACAAAATGAACAGTAACAACGCGAAAAAGTAACATATTAGAAAATGATGTACAGAAATATCTTATATGTGAGGATACTTCATCTACCTGTGATTTAGATACTATAAATTTAGAAGATTCTGTCAGCAGTGATTCTCCTGAATCAGAGTAGTTACGATCTATGCATTTTGTTGTCCTAAAGTAAATTTATAGCATCTTAATTTTTTTTTTAATTAAATATAACATTAATGTTTCTTTTTCATTAAAGAAAAACATTTTTATCTTATATTAGGCTTATATTGTAGGAATCATGTTCTAATGTTATTTCAATTCTTTTTTATCACAGGAATTTATTTAATACTTACACCGTTTTCATACTATAACTTATTATTTGCTTAGATGGAACACAGCTCCAACATTATTATTATTTATAAGATTTTTTTTTCATAAACGTGGGACTAAGAACATCATCATTTAGTACAATGAGAGTACTCATCATTTGTGTCAAATAAACCTAGTTTGAATAAATTGCTTACAATAAAAGAGAAGTTTTGGATTTTTGTCCTCTAGAGCCATATGTTCGAAGCACTGTGGGACAGTGAGATCAAAAAGAGGACTGTCCTCTGGAATAGAGGACGGTCGGCTGATCGACGTTGAGAATTAGATCGTTGTTTTATGATAAAGCATTTTAGTCACGGCACCGGCGCTACTATACATATTTGATTGTAAATAAAACATTTTATTTACTTTCTTCACTACTATCGTAGTAAACTGTCATTAAAGTCATATCGGAACTAATACATCTAATAAATGTGTTTGGATCTTTGCCAAAAACTGTTAAAATGAAGTTTACGTCTCGAAGCTTCTAAAAGTTTTGTCTTAAAAGTTAATAAATCTTATAAGCCCTGTTGAACTTTTGCTTTTATACGCCACTTGTGGCATCAGAGATGAGTGAAGATTTTCTTTTACAAACCGTTAATTAAACCTATTGGAGAAGGATTATGTTATTTTCTTCTTTCCGAAAGATGTGATTTTGTTGCTGCAAGAACGTGATATTCATTTTTTTTTAAATTATTAAAGTTTAGTGTCGAATTTTCTAAACTAAACAACTCAAAAGTGAAAAAATGATACACACATTTAAAACTGTTTTATTCATCCGCTGATGATTCTAACATGGTTAGCGAAACGCGCCTCCAGTGCAAAAGTAATCCTCCAAGTTGTGCCTCCTGGTGTATTGTGGTGAATTAGTGTTCTATTTTGCTGTTGTAACACAAAAGAGTCCAACCCCCAATCTATACCTACTTAAAAAAGATTCATTACTACGAAAAATGTGGATACGAATTTTTCGGCACCGTCATATTTTGTTAAGACATTAGTTTTGCTTTTGTTTTTTAAGTTTAGACCAAATAAATGTTTTCTGCCAGTACTATTCTGAAGAAATGTATCCGCTATTTTTTAGCTATTTTATCCACCAATGTCTATCATTGTTTGATTCAAAATTTGGTCATTTTGTCTACAGTCAGCTAGTAATCGCAATAAGTAGCTAAAAGAAATGAAAGAGGTAAAAAGATAAAAATCAGTATGTTCGCAACTCACAGTTAAAACCCAAAATTGTTTTTTACAACTCTATAATAATACTTTCACTAGGACGTTTTTAAAATACCTTATTTTTTGCTATTATGAAATAATTAAAGTATGTAAACTTTATAGATGACACTGTATCTATCATAGCTGGAACCAAATCCTTCGATGAAAGGCTTAAACTAGAGTGATTTTCGCCAGTCCAAGCGTGTAATCGAATCGTTTATATCGTCGTGGATAATTGCTCTCGAATAATCACTGATCGAGGAGGCTCCGCTCGAATTCCAATTCCTCGCTATTCTCTGTCGGCAATTACGGCCCAGCGCAAGCCTTCCAGGGTTTGTCTCTGCGCAACAACCTTAAAATCGAATTTCAATTAACTTTTGCTAGCCTATATTAACATTGTGATTTTTTAAGAACCTAGATCATTATAGTTTCATGGATTAGACTATAACAACAGTTAAATATTATAGATAACTAAATTTGAGAATGTGAAAGATGAAGATAACATAATTATAATACAAAACTTACAGCTTAGCACTGTCTATGAAAATATGTATGATCTAGGTTTAAGCCTATTTGACACAAGTCTTGGACCAATGGTGCGCATCTCATTTGTACGCTGCTTCTATCTTATCAGCTGTTTTATCAAAATCGAGTTGGAAGGCTTCGTAGAATTAATTAAATCAGTCCAAGTAAGTTGGCAGCCAGCCTTACTTGGATTAACAAAGCATTACGAGTTACAAAGCCTTCCAACTTGACTTGGATAAGACAGTAAATACGATACAAGCAACGTGTACAAGTGAGACGCGCGCAGTATTTTTAAGTACAGTTATATAACAGCATCCAAGTGTACTTGGTCCAAGGACACTTGAATCGTGTCATCTCCCTTTTAAGAATGATTTCATGTATTACATTCAATTTTATTTTACAGAATGCCGAAGAAAAAGCAGCCGCACCCGCCGAAACCCCAAAAACCGAAGAAGCCAAACCCACCGAATCCGAACAGACTGTAACCACACCGGAGACATCAGCCGTTCCCTCTACCGAATCGGCAAAGACCACCGAATCGGAGACCTCATCTAAACCCGATGACTTACCAAAGACTGAAGAGGAACCGGCCAAACCGGCCCAGGCGGAGGCCGTTCCCCAAGTAGAAGCAGCGGCCAAACCCGCCGATGAACCTAAAGCGGAAGAACCCGTTTCGACTCCCGCACCTGTAGTAGAACCCACTCCCGCTCCCGCAGCTGAGGCTCCCCAGCAACAGCAGGAAGAACCTAGCAAAGAGGTGCGTACTGAGGAAGTGCCCCCGCCGCTGCCCTCCTCTAACCCCCCCTCCCAAGTGACCGCTTTCGCCGAGTCCACGAAGGCGGAGGTCGCGGAACTGACGTCGGGCCAAGTGCCGCAGGAGGTCAAGGAAATTGTCGAAAGTTTAACGACGACAGAGAGTACGACACTTCCTGGATCTCCTGTTGCCGAAACGGAGTCTGCTGTTACCGTTAACGAATCCTCTATTCCTGATCCATCCAGTCCCGTACCTATAGATGTAAAAAGCACAGAATCAGTGGAAGTTACTGAACCTATAACTATTCCCCCTGCTGCACCCACTACCGAAGAACTTCCTCCAGCACCTCCATCACCGGTTCCCGAGCAGGTCTCGGAGCCTGTAGAATTAGAACCTCCAGCTGAACCAATTGTTCTCCATGAAAACGTAGAAAAGACTGAAGAGGCTCCTTCAGAGCCCGAACAAGCCGAACCAATTACTCCTCCTCCCACCCCGGCTGCTAGTTCCGTAGAGAATGCTCCCGCAGAAATCCCCCTCCCACCTCCAGCGGACGTTTCCGAAACGGTAGCCCCAGCGGACTCTTTGCCCGACATCTCGACGGAATCCCTTCCCAGCCTGCCCGAGCCCGTGTCCGAAAGCCTCCCTCCCATGTCTCTTCCGCCAGTCGATTCGGTGCCCGAACCCATAGCTCCCGTGGAAGTCGAGGAGTCGCCCAAGGAGGCGGAGGTTCCTCCCGCGGCGGCGCCCCTTACCAATGGCAACATGAATGGACACGTGTCCCCGTCTCCCGAGGAAGAGCAGGTGCCAGGACCGACGAAACAGGTGATTAGTGAGAGGCAGCCTCCGAAGCCGTAGATTGCTGCTGGGTGGTCGAAAGGACCGAGCGTGCTCGATTGGTGTAACTTTGGGTTGGACGCATGTCCAATCCGATCTGCCCGTTTTTGTTTTTACAGTTTTTTTCTTTTGATAGCGTTCAATTTATAATTATTTACGATAGTTTTAGAACTAGCGATAGTTAGAAGTAATAGGCTTTTTAACTGCAACCTTCTGGGATTATGACAACTAAAACAAAACACAAAAACGAAACTACATAAATACGAAAAAAAACATAGTCTAGTGACTAGGGCTTGTATAGACATTTTTATACATATATTACATACGGGGTTGCCAATAGAGTCTCGGGTCGGTATTACATTCTAATAATAAATCGCTATAGAGAGAGAAAAATGCGTTACCTATTAGTTATTTATTTTTTTTATTATTATTAGTAAATGTTTATTACATAACCACTTACTTCGACGTTTTATTTCCATCTGCTTAAAAAATATACTCCTTCTTCAGTACATCTTGTAATAACATTGACTGCACGCACGAAAATTGGCACCCAAAGGCAGTTTTTGCCGACCGTGTATAATCTCAATACAGAAAATTGACAAAAAATACCGTAGGACCGAAAAAGAACGGCGTTCAGTTGGCTTGGAAATGACGATCGATGGATGCCACTCCCCATATAATTTTACATATAAAATGACAGCGATCTTCATTTCATAGCCAACGCTGACGTCGTTTTTTTTTCGATCATATTGTAGCTACTGAGTAATTTATATCCGTTAATTTTGAAACCACTACCATTTAACATAAAACAGATATGTTTTGATTTTTAAGTGTTTTGCTTGGGTGAATATATTTCCAGAATATTCCAGTTAATTCGAAGAAACTTAAAATTATCGATTTCATTAAAACTAAATTGACCGCTTCATTTTAATACCAATAATGAATATTTATACTCTGTTTAAATATTCTGTTTGTAGTGTAGACTGAGCTTATATCACACGCTGAATCTGAAAGCCAAATTTCCAATTTCATAAATTAAAAAAACGGAACATTTCTGGTACTAAAAATGGACATTATAATCTAAAACGCGACGAACACTACTCGCGAAATAAGTTAAAGTAGGTCAAAGTCGAATAGTGCAGAGAGTTACTTTGTGTTTCCTCGTCTAATAATAAAAATAAGCCGAGACGAGACAAAGTTAAGCGGCCCATACATTATCAAACAAATTGCGAAACGAAGCGATGCGCAACGTTGCGTTGCACAACTGATTCAGCGGTCCATACACTATCAAACAAGTTGCGCAACAAAGCGATGCGCAACGTTCTGTTGCACAACTGCCTCACCCATGCATTTAAGCGGCCCATACATTATCAAACAAATTGCGCAACGCAGGTCGTTGCGCAACGAGTTGCCAATGTATGGTAGTGTTTGATGCGTTGCGCAATTGTTTGATGAGCTTCAAGAATGTTTGAATTCTTTTGTGCAACAGGACTGTTTGCGCAACGCGTTGTGTAGTGTATGTGTGTGTTGCGCTTCGTTGTGCAATATTTTAGTTCTTTCATCCAAATTCTTTGTTTTCTTTTTCGTTTTTTGGTATCATCGACATCATCTAGGGTATTTACGATAATAATTGACGCAATGGCAATTGAGGACATGATTGTTTCTCAAACAATGCACAACTTTTAATAAACAGTTTGATCAAAATTTTACTAAGTGCATGGGTGAGGCGATTGTGCAACGGAACGTTGCGCATCGCTTTGTTGCGCAACTTGTTTGAGAGTGTATGGACCGCTGAATCAGTTGTGCAACGCAACGTTGCGCATCGCTTCGTTGTGCAATTTGTTTGATAATGTATGGGCCGCTTTAGTAAAATTTTGATCAAACTCTTTATTAAAAGTTGTGCATTGTTTGAGAAACAATCATGTCCTCAATTGGCATTCCGTCAATTATTATCGTATATACCCAAGATGATGTCAATGATACCAAAAAACGAAAAAGAAAACAAAGAATTTGGATGAAAGAACTAAAATATTGCACAACGAAGCGCAACACACACATACGCGCTGCTCAAACGCCTGTTGCACAAAAGAATTCAAACATTCTTGAAACTTTTTAAACAATTGCGCAACGCATCAAACGTTACCATACATTGGCAATTCGTTGCGCAACAGCCTGTGTTGCGCAATTTGTTTGTTAATGTATGGGCCGCTTTAGGAGAGGAAATTCGAAATAACCCTCTTTACTATTCGACCTTGACCTACTTCGGGTTATTTCGCGAATAGTGTAGAGGCCGTTTAACACTTACAAACAACGATTATTATTGCTCGATCCTAGTACTTCTGCGCATTGTGTTGAGATTCTTTTTAGATTTTCTTGAAGTATCTAAAAAAAGTGTAAAAAATTGTAATATTTCAACAATTTCAAAATTCTTCAAAGTACATTATCCATTAACAACCTGTTGTGATTATGATTTTCTGGTTAGATCTTACCAAATCTCTATTCACTGTCTTTCTATGATTTTCTAACACATGATTTCTAATGGAAAATGCCACTATTATGAATTTTTTGACATCACTGGATGTGGGACCTTGGAAGCTCTTATTTAAAAAAAAGAAAGTTGATGATTGACAAGGAGGAACCGTGAGTTTAAAAATCTGATAACACCATCTTGTAGAATAAAAAAGTACCATGAATTCGCACATATTTGTTTTTTTTTAATTTCTGTAAATGTTCGAAATATTTAAACTTTTAAGGTGGCATTTTGATCAGCACCGCGCAATTTTGTCTCCATTTAACCGAGTAACTCGTACTTCTTCTTGTTTCCAAGATCCGAGATGATAACGCTCGAATTTGGGACACCCTGTGCATGATAGAAGCTCAGTATATGCTATTTGGATTGTATATTATGTAGTATATTTAGTAACAATCATTACTAATGGTCATCAAAAAAGATTTATTAAAATTGGCATTTTAAGAAGGGATATTGACATCTTACATATTCTTCAGCGCATTTTTAATTTTATTATAACTATCTAAACAATTAAAAGAAAACTAATCACCAATAACTAATAAAAATAATTACTTAAAAAAATTAAAATACCTTCACTTAAAGAAATCGTTTATTTTCTTTATATGCGATATTTATATGCACCATTCCAAAGTTCTACACTATTATAGACACGACAGGTTACTTGTAAGCCACTCAGCTTATCTTAGTTGTTTTTGTGTAAATAATAAACGAATTAATCAGTTTGCTCGATTAGTTGGTTGCTGCATCTTAGGAGGGACTGACGTATATGACAGTTTATAGGATCCCGTCAGTTTTTGGACTGACCCTGTGCTAACAAACAGTTTGTTTTTAAAAAAATACTCGGTGTATGAACATAAATTGAATTTTGTGCATGCATTTTATTAGCATAAAATTACCATTAAATATCATATCAGATTCATTTTTAAGGGTATAAAGTAAAATGCATGCATAATTAGTTTATTTAATTCCGAGTATTTATTTGATTTAATCTTCTACTAATTTCGAAACCCTGTGTTATTTTATGGCCTTGATTGACATCATGCTGATTTGCATCCCTAATATACCGAAAAAAATATAAAATAAAATAGCATTAACTTAATGTAACCAATATGGAACTTTTTACACAGCTTTGATGCTATTTTATATTATATTTGTGTGAATTAACCCTATTTATATAGTCTGTCCAACAAGAGGATACATGACAGTTCTGTCATTTTTTGGATGTCATCGAAATATTCCTCGAGTCGTTGGTCAGACTTTAGTTTGTTTAGTTGTTAAATTAATTATGATAAATTTGTTAAAAAAAATTAAATTGTTTATTAATTCATTTTAGTTAATCGTATTTTAACAACAAAAATTATTTTTGCAGTAATGTTTTTAGATTGCTCATGTAGTAGATAGATATATTTTAATATGATTAATTTTCAGATTGTACCAGAGGCTACAAAAGACATTGAAATCAGTCCTGAAGCTGGGGACAAGCCAAACGAAAATGCAGTAAGTATATTTATATATTTTTATCCACTATAATTTGATTATTATACATGAGTTTATGAAATAATAATAATATTCATTATTCACCGCTTCCACGGATATCTCGAATTACCATTAATGTAAATAATAATTTTTATTTTAATTCGTTAAAGCTCTAAATTAGTTACCTACCTAGTTAAAGAAAATTTCAATGTTTTGTTTCCATGTTACTTACTCGTTATGCTCGTTCAATATTTTTTTGACATTAAAAATAATAGTATATTATTCAACGAGCATATAATGGTGGCTGTCATTCACGCGGATGAAGTTTATGACACGAGCCGTAGGCGAGTGTCATAAATCATCGAAGTGCCATAGATGATGATGATCGCCCCCATAGATGAATGCAAAAAATAACATTGAAAACTTCAAATTTTTAAATCGAATTTTAGAGTAGAAAATGAGGGAATTTTAACGTTGTTTCTTCGTAAATTCGTCATGGTGTTTAATAATTTTTTTTCATGTCGAGATATAACATGAAAGACTTACTAAAAAGGAAAACATATTTTAAAACTCTTATGACAAGAAAACTAACTTTTGGAACACTCCATTAATTTGTTTATACTTCGAGATATAATATAAGAGAATGTTTAAGGAGCAAAAAATATTTAAAAAATCTCGTGTCAAGAAAAACAACTTTTGAATCACTCCATAGATGAATGCAAAAAGTGACATTGAAAACTTCAAATAGCTCTTGTATGGAGTTTGCATCGAGATATCCGTGGAAGCGGTGAATAATAGCTTTTTTCGTTTTCCTGTTATTACCGATTCTGAACCGTCCTATAAATGTGATGCGTATGCGCAGAAGGAAATATGTAGCGATGGGAACTATCGAATGAATTAGACTATCGAATGGTTACTGAACGAATGATTTCAACTATCGAATGGTTTCATTCGAATAAAATCATTCATTCATTTGTATACTAAAGCATATGTGACAATTTCGCCGTGCGACTAAATGATTATCGTTAAGCCACGACTATCGAATGCTTTTTATAAATGAAATTTAGTATTCGTTTGATTTTTGTCTGCGTCAGTGCATTATTAGTCCTTCCAAATCTTTATAACTTGCCTTCTAAATACTGTGCTATTTTTGCGTTTATTAAAGTATTTAAAATATTAAAGTAGTTGTGTTTTTTTTTAAATTGATGATTGTGTACGTGTGCACGTGGTCAACATTTTTCCGAAAATTTGTGTGATTTTCCGATCTTTCAATTATTTAATTTTATACGGTATATGGTCTATTTTTTAATGGGAAATTTTGAGAAGTAACAATTTTTAAGAGAGATGAGGTGAACTTACAATTAATTTTAAAAATACATATGTATTTGTATTTTAGATGTTTTAGTAATATGAATTAGTTGAACTTAATAGTCATATTTAAGTAATGTGGTAATGTGGTTAAGTAAATGGTTATCGAACTCAAATTTTGGGATGGGAAAATTAAATTGATTGATTAAAGTTTTACACGTGCCAATTTAAAAAAAAAAGTTAACGATATTTGTATTTTGTTTATTCTAATTCTCTTACATTTAGATTTTTGCGAATAAATATTTTATTTATTTTTTAAAGTAAATGCCAGTAAAAGCAAATATTATTTTTAAATACTAATACAAAGTAATAAAAAGTCATACACATATATATATAATTATTTTGATTTCTAATTTTATATTTATATTTTTCTTCTATTACACTGCATGCTTAGAAAATTAATAAATGTTTATATTTCATGATTTTAAAATTTGTTGTTAATATAACAAATTAGTTCTGTAATTATTATTATTTAATAAACCAACGTTGCCACACAAAAAATTTAGAAACTATATTATTTTTAAGTAGGATCTAATATAAATAATTTGGACTTCTAAGTTGTTGTTTATATTTTGCTACTACTTAAAAAAATGTTTATATTAAATGATTTTAAATTTTTATGTTAATAGGTATAACAAATTATTCCTGTTATTATTATTTATTAAACCAGTTTTGCTTAACAACATTAAAAATCATTTTCCTACATCCAAAATATAAAGTATTATTGCAGTGTAACAACAGAATATTAATAAAAAAATGCAAAATATATAGTCATACTATCCCTAACTAACTATAATACCAAAGAATAATATTCTTTGCTAATACCAACTAATACGAATATACGGCAACAGCGCCGTTCATAATGTATTTTCTGTGTAAATACTAGCACCTCAATAAAAAAAATAATGTGTCCTTATCTTTATCTGACTCAAAATCAAAGATGCCGGCTTTTTTCATATTATTGCCACCGACCACTCTTGGGTTTCTAGGAAAGAAACCTACGTCGCCGGGCGACAACTAAAATCCAGTTTATATTTTATTATAATCGATCCTGACGAATAAATGAATTATACAAATGAGTGAATTTTATAAATGAATGGTTTTTGCTGCCGAATTAATATATTTCAAGGCAGATGACGCATCTATTCGATATTTTTATTCGAATAGTTTTTGACGAATGTTTTCTTACTAGCTATCGAATTATTCGAATGAATTGCAACTATCGAATGTTTCGATAGTATTCATTCGATAGTTCCCCCTACTAGAAATATGAAGACATTATTTCATTTGCGCATGCGCTGTAGAGTTCTAGGACTCTCTCTTTCTTGTAAAGACAATCTGGGGACATACTGTAGGTTTTTGAGATTATGACTTTGTTTTTTACAAAATACTTGGGAGCACTGACAGTGATGTCAGTGCAATTTATGAAGCGACATCAATTTTTGGATGAAAATTGGCACCTGGGAGTTTTTTGACATGAGAAATTTGATTTTGATGTCAATATGACTCCTACTTGTCGAGAGCGCCACCTATATATTTTTTTAATTAGACTAAATACAGTTCGGACCACCCTGTATAGATGCAAATGATTATTTTTTTTAATAATCATTGTATTATTTAAATGAATATATATATATTTAATTTGTGAAATTTCTTTTTCAGGTAGCAAGAGTTGAAGAGTAATAAATTCTGATTATCATTATGAATATCATTGGCAAACAGAGATCATTCCCTCGGCAGTAATCGCGTGAGGAAATTCGACCAATCAAAAATTATCATGGAAACTGCCATATTTCAATTTTAGATTTTTAGAATAAATATATTAATTTGATATATTATACAAAAAAAAAAAGAAAATTGTCCGCAACGCGCAAAAGTTTAAATATAGTTAAATTTTTAATACTCTCTTTTATAAATGTTTTACATTTAATCATTTAGTGATGTTTTCTTTGGGACAATTTTGATAATATTATATGTCGAACAGTCGGCTCTTTCATATACAATAATTGTATTATAATAAAAATTAGTGGTTAGTTTTTTTAGTAGTAATTAAATTTTAAAGATGAGCTTCTATTAAGTATATTAATTAGTCCTTATTTTAAAATTATCTGTAATAATTTTAGATTAACCTGCGTTTCTGTACGTATGTGTTTTTCTTCCCGTTTTACAATATCTTTAGCCTCAGATTTTAGGTTAGTCACAACACACTATACTTGCGACCGTATTAATAAATGTTCAAATTTTAATAGCTGAAAATATCTGCAGCTTCTTAACAAATATTTCAATGGGTTTAAATTATATAGATACATTCAAATTAATCTTATTAAGTGTGTAGAATAGACATTTGGCTGTCTTTAATATATTGTATGTCATTCAGTTATATTTTCATAAATTCTTGAAACACTAAACACTTTTGGCCATATAGCAGAAATCTGCTCTAACTACATAGTAATTAAAATTAAACATTTATGACGGTATAACTGAATTTATAGACAAAACTTTAGTATACGTATATAATGTGCTTATTAAAAAAACGTGCTATTATTATAAAACTGCGGTTTCGCAGTTTCGACACATTGATTTTGTCTTTTTCGGCTGTCGCAAGGACCAAATGACTGTGTTATCGTTGAAAAATCAAATAAAATTTTATGTACAGTTGGTTTTAATGACTTTGTATAAATAGCAACGAAACTTGATGTGGTAGGTCTTAGGTCAGCTTCAGTAATCTCAAAATTTTATTAAGTTTTTATATCGCACTAATATCGGCTTTGTTTTAACTGTTGTGAGAAACTTAAAACTATATCTTTGAAATCGCGGCTGCTTGATATTTCGTCATTTATTGTAATCGACCGATTTATCAGGTAGGCTGGGCATTTAGGTACATAAAACAATTTCATGTATGTGTGAATGTGTTTATAATAATATAAATATATAATTAGGATGTTTCCTAAATTGGTTTTTGTTTTATTTTTCGTCATATTTTCCTTTAGTCCTTAAGGCGGGATGACAGGGTCAAAGTTACTTGGACCAAGTATACTTAGCTGCTGCCATATAATTTTACTTATATAATAATGTTATGCACATCTGACTTATACTACAGAGAACATATAATCTTGTACGCTGCTTTTATAGTATTGATTGTTTGATCTAAGTTGAGTAGGAAGGCTTTTTAACATCAAAGTAACTTACTCGATGCTACAAAGCCGTCCAACTCGACTTTGATATAAGGGTTGATTCTATACAAACAGCTGAAATGTGAGACGTCTATATAGATATAATTATAATGGCAGCATCCGTTTGACTTGGTCCTTTCCTTGTCTTAAGGCGGACTCTGATGACTCGTGTACTTGGCAGGTATTTTTTATTGGCATACAGGGCATGGCGATAATGCGGCGTATATATATAGCTCCTGTAATAAATAATTCTGTATAGATGCCCGTCACATGTATATGTATACCCTGTATACCAATTACAAATGTCTATTAAGTACAGGAGTCGCGAGAATGCGCCATAAGACTGGTTGGTTTTTTACTTGTCTAATGGCGCATTTTCACGACTCGTGTACTTGACAAACATTTGTAATTGGTATACAGGGTATACATGGTGTGTCGGGCATCTATAGAGTATGTCTTTCTTTTTATTATTTATTACAGGAGCTACGCCGCATTATCGCCAGACCCTGTATGCCAAAAAATACTTGCCAAGTACACGAGTGTGAATGTGCCTTATGCCTTGGTCAAGTCAGCATAAAATAATTAAATAGAAGTAGACGTCCTGGTTCAAATGCACTTTGACCGTGTCAACCCGGCTTTACAATAGATTCAACAATATTTTAATGACCATAGTAGAATTTTTTTTTTAGAATTTAGAATGAGTGGGAGGGGGGTTAATCACTTCGACCTTACAGATCCATTGTGTCCCCCTTTCTTGAATCATAACTCATCATACAGTCCCAGGGCTTTGACAAAAGCCAGTATCTGGGACGGTTTTATAGAGGGTAGTTCTCCATCTCCAATATCAGGCGTACCAAAATTCATGGCATGAATGGTTGTCGTCTCGGCGCACTCAGTGATGAGGTGTACTGGTGTTTCCCCATCTTCCCCACAGAATCTGCATTCGCCGTTTCTTCTTAGTTTCAATCTACTGAGGTGTTCATTGAGGAGACAGTGTCCTGTTAAAACCCCGTGACAATCCGAAGATTGTTCTTACTCAGACCCAGGAAGATCTGTGATTTTTCTTGATCATAAGCCCTCAGAAACTTCTTCGAGTGTCTTAGACCATTGCAAGATTTCCATTCCAGGTTGCGGATGGAATCTTCCAAGTTCTTGAGTTCCGCCTTGAGTTGGTTACCACTTGGAAAGCAGAACGGTTCTGGTCCAGTTAGTGGAGTGTTCGCTTCTTTCCTAGCTAGATTATTTGCTTTTTCATTGCCTTCTATCCCTTGGTGAGCAGGCACCCAGTGTAGGAGGACTTTGTTTTCTTTGCCTAATTTATTCATGACCATAGTACCTACTTACTCTGATAATACTTTCCCTAAAACGTTGTCTTAAAAAAAATTGTAATACAAAACTCATTCATTTCTAAAGGCTATTAGCGCTATTAGTTTCAATGATTAATTTGGGTCCCTTAATTGTATTTGATTAGGGAGATTATTTATGATTTATGTTAAATTAAAATATTTTATTCATAAAAAATATTATCTGGACCATTTTTACCTCTATTGACCTAAAATTCACAATATATAGATCACAAAAATAATTCCAATCTGCTATTGAAAGAGGTATAAAGAAGTTTTTAAGTTATAGACCGTTTTTATCATGGTTTTTATCCTGCTTAAAAAATAAAGTTTTTGAACGTTAAAAAGGCCGATTTATTACATGTAATTATTTGGACATCCTTGAAAAAACAACTGGCAGGGTGCCCTAAGCCAGGTGGCCTTGTTAAGAAAAAAAGAAGAAAAAAGTATACCAAATACTGGCTAGATAGCTTTGGCAGTAGAAGCCAAAAAGGTCAATACAAAATTTGCTGTCAAACTGTCAAACACGTTGTCAAATTTATGGCCAATGTTTACCATATTTAAAAAAAAGGAAATTTAATTTTTCAAATACCAAGTATCCAAAAATATAAGACATGAGTTCCGAAGAATCATTTTCTCCCATTTTAATTGCTCTACTCCTTATATTCGTCACAATAAGTAAGTGGATTTAAGTCAGTTAAGGTTAGATTTTTTAAATTGTGAGTTCTATTTTTCAGTAATATTTTTTCTTAAGCGAATCCTAAAGAGTGGAAAACGTAACGTACTTCTTACCGGCTTGAATGAAAGTGGAAAAACGTTGATTTACTCACAGTTGTTGCATAACAAACATGTAACTACTTTTACATCAATTCAGGAGAATATTGACGAATACCATGTGGAAGGAGTAAGTAGCATTCAACGTTTCATGTAAGTCGCGATAGAATCATAAATTTAAATTTTTAGAAATCAGTTACAATTATCGATTTACCAGGATTTCACAGCATCAGACAACAATTTTTCGAAAAACATAAGGAGAGTACTAAAGGCATAATTTATGTAATTGATTCAGTTACTCTCCCAAAAAATATAAGGGATGTAGCTAACGTTCTGTATAACATTTTAACTGATCCTGTTGTGATGAAAGCTAAACCAGAACTAATGATTCTTTGCAACAAACAAGATCAGACTTTAGCAAAAGGTTCAAGTGTTATAAAATCAATGTTGGAGAAAGAATTGTAAGTACTTTTAACTAAAATACAAACGTAGGTCACCTATAAATACCTTATTTACAGGAATACCTTAAGGAACACCCAGTTAAATCAACTGGAACAGTTGGATTCAAAGGATAATGCGAGATACAAATTAGGGGATGTGTCGAAGGATTTTAGTTTTTCAAATTTATATTGCAAAGTGGAGTTTGCTGAATCTTTTGCTTTTAATAAAAATGGAAGTGTAGACTTACAAGCTTTAAAGGTGTGGTTAGGAAGATTGGTTAATTAAATAAAATAAAAATATTTACAATTAGGTAATGGATGATTTTATAATAAAACATTCATTTTTTAATAAATTTTGTTATTTTTTTGTAATAATTTATTTTTTTGTATTGTTACATTTATATATACAAATATAACATAAAACAAAGTAGTAAATAAATTTGAATACTTCCCATTTGACAAACTTTAAGATAAATAGATATTTAAATCAGATAAATCTTTTCTATATATTAATTAATTATAATCTTGAAGTTCAGCAAACAAGTTGTAGGCACATTAATTTATTGTGGTATATGAATAATCAAAACTTAAAAAACACTATGAGATAAATCACAGTGCACAGAAGAGTTACATATAATAAATGCATTTTTTTAATTATTTTATATAACTCTTGAAATGTTTCAAATAAGCTTTGCTCTTTTCCACAAATAAAATTACAGGACAACCAGACTGTATGCTTTTAAAATAAATATTAAAATATACACTGTTCAGTTACTTTGCCTGTGCTGCTTCAAGTTCCTGTTCAACTATCTTTCTGTATTCGTCGAATCCACCTTCTATACTTTTAACTGACCCGTTTCCACACACCCATAACTCATTAGTTACCATTCGAATTAGTCTTTCGTCGTGAGAAACTAATATTACACCACCCTAAAAAAGATTCTATTGTCACAAATTGCTACCGAGCGTAGCGATAACTCTCGTTGAAATTTCCTTAACTTCCAAAAAATTCGTCTATGAAGAACTGTGATTATCTAAATGGTGGACGCGTCAGTGAGTTTTAAATTATTGAGTAAATGGCGAAGGAACCAGAAATTGGAGAAAGCGTTTTGGAGAGAAAGAGAGAAGAAATTGGAGCTTGATCCGGTGTTTAACCATAGTAAAATTTTGTTATTTTTAATATAAAATTCAATTGAAGTGATTAAAAAGTACTCCCTCAATACAAAAAGAAATGCAACGAAGTTACAATTAAGGAATAAATAATAAATCAAATTCAATACAAATTTCACTGGTTTGAAATGACGCGTAGAAAACTGTGACGTCACCTATCAGCATTTGACTGAATAGTTGACAGAGGGCGCTCCAGCCTCTGAAGAATAATATTATGACTTGTCTAGTTCTCTGCTACCGTATTTACGCTATATATCTTAAAATCACGTTAGATTTTTCTATTTTTATTAAGATCGTTAAAAAATACGTTTTTATGTGGGATTATTCTTTATTAATTTTATTAATATTAAATTTATTTTTATATTTTTCACTACTAGAAATTAAAACTTAAATTTTTATAATTAACAGGTTACTGCCATTTTTATCGAAGCATTAAACACTACCAAAGTTGTTCGGATGTTCGAGGCGTTCGAGGTTAGATTTCTATTTTGTTGATTTTGCGTTTGGCGTTAAATACTTTGAGTTTTCAATTTTGTTTTATTGTACCCTCTTTATTATTTTTGTAATGAAGGGTATTAAAGTTTGTTTTGTGAAGGGCTGTCTAAATAACTCTGAAGGCTCTCCAGAAAAAGTTTTTATAACTGTTCCATTGGATGAAAGCCGTCGAAGAGCCTGGTTTGAAGCGGCAAGACAACAATATGTCAGCAAAAGTACGAGATTTTGCTGTGAAGACCATTTTAACGTAAGTTCCTTAAGTTTTATTTTACAATTAATTTTATATCTACTTTAAAATACATTTAGAAGAATGGTTTTTATTTACCTTTGTACCTGGTGGCAAACCGTGACACTTTTGATAGGTGACGTCAGAGATTGCAAAAGTGTAAATTTGAAATTCTTAATATTGATTAATTTTTTTAAAAAAATGGGATGAAATTGAAGTAAAATAAAAAAATACGGGCGTCATAAAATTGTATGAAGATTAACATTTTCATTAACAAAATTAAAGATATAACATTGCATGAAGGTGAAATTTTGGTCTCTTTTGATGTATCTCCCAAGTGTTCCAATTCCACATACTTTAGGCTACTTGAAGGAATTACTGAACGCAAATGGTCTCGACAACAAAACTGTGACTGAATATATTGAACTTACATCGTTATGTATGAAACAAAATTGTTTTCAATTTAATAACAACTTTTTTGAACAGCGGGAAGGTACAGCAATGGGTAATCCATTGTCTCCATTTTTGGCTAATTTATTCATGAGCAGGTTTGAAGTGGAGACTAAGAATCAGTTTGAGTATTTTCCAAGAGTATGATTTAGGTATGTGGATGATATTTTTGCTGTTTTTGACAGATATTCAGACACCATAGATAATTTTATTTCTAAGTTAAATAATCGTTTTCCTTCCATTAAATTTACGCATAAAATTGAGAACAACGACAGATTACCATTTCTAGATGTATTAGTTATTAGAAATACTAATAATTGCCTGGAATTTGATATCTATAGGAAAAATACCACCACACGCAGATATATTCCTAATGAATCAACGTGTTGAACATAAAATGGCTAGTTTAAATTTCTTAGTTCATAGATTACTTAGTTTCCCACTTTCCAACGAAAAATATGAAATAGAAAAAGATTACATTAGGAATGTAGCTGAGTGTAATGGATATTCTCCTTCACTAGTTGATAAATTAATTAGAAAATGTAGGTATAGGTTAATGATTTCTGAAAATTCGACTTTTCAAGTGAAGAAAGATATGTCTAAATATTTTTCAATACCGTTTGATAGAGAGTTATCCCGTGGTCCAAAAAGAATTTTTAAGAATGTCAATTATAAACTTGTGTATAGTGCTAATAATAAATTACAACAATTATTAGGTAATCCAAAGGATAAAACACCTCCACTGGAAAGGTCGGGTATTTATGAAATTTCTTGTAAAGATTGTAATCAGAAATATGTTGGGCAAACTAGAAGATCAATATTAACTAGATTTAAAGAACATTTAGCTTAGATAAGATATTGCAGACCGGATAAATCTTGCGTTGCCGAACATATTGTTGATAAAGAACATTGTATAGATCTTAATAATTTAAAATTAATTAAACAAGTCTCAAATTACAGGCAATTAGATGCATATGAAAGCATCAGAATTAATAAATGTAAAGATAGTATGAACAGAGACAACGGTCCAATTCCTTCAAGTTCTTTGTTCCTACTACTCTAGTGGCGGAAATCTAACTGTTACGCTCAGTGGGTTCTGACCCGGTTGGCTAGATTTTGCCACGCCCACTCGGTGCCCACTGGACGAGTATATAAACGCTCAACTTATAGATTGTACTTTAGTTTATAATCATCTGCTGATGATGCTAACATGGTTAGCGAAACGCGCGTCCAGTGTAAAAGTAAAAGTGTTTTGGTGTATTGTGGTGATTTAGTGTTTTTATTCTGCTGTGTAACACCAAAGGTTCCAATTCTCAACTGTAATGAAGATTAATTATTTGCAATAAAAAAACTATGGTTAAACTCCGGATTGACGGTGGTCAAAATTAAGTAGTTTTATTGTCTTGAAATAAATTAGTTTAACTGTTTCATTGTGTATTTAAATTAAGGACCTATGGGGGAATCTGTGATAGGTACTATCATAAAAAAGTGCACACATTTTGAAAATAACAAACTGAAGTCTGCAAAAATAAGTTAAATATAAACATTATGGTAAAAACTTACTGTATATTTGTTAATAGCTTTCCCCAGTGCTTCGATGGTTTCAATATCTAAATGATTTGTAGGTTCGTCAAGAACTAAAAAATTTGGTCTACCCATACACATATTGGCAAAAGCAACTCTTGATTTTTGTCCACCAGATAAACTTGATACAGTTTGTAATGCTAAATCTCCAGAGACTCCAAAACTACCCAACTGACGTCTATATTCTTCTATAGGTTTACCTAAATTAAATAGAACTTTTATAGTAATAATTATGAACTAAATTTTACTACAGGGTGCAAAAAATCATGATTAAAAAAAACCTTTTTTTTTATTTTAATCGGATTTTTTTTTATTTTAATCAATTTTCTGTGATTCACAAGAAATAAGTTCAAAAATGGGTCCAACATTTTAATAGATCAATAGATATTAGGGATATGTGTTATATGTTATAATCTTTTACAATTATTTTTCGATCTATTAAAGTATTTAAATGTTACAACAGCAAGTGTAACTTTGTACTTATTTGATGAATAGATATATAATAGGGTATATTTGATATAGGAATACTTCTTTATAGCTTTACAGGAAACTAGCGTGTACCCGCGACTTCGTTTGCGTCGAATTAATAATTGCAATGGTGATGATACAGCAAAGTAAGAATTTCCATTAACATACAAACTGGATAAAATTTTCTCACATTTATGTCAGCATTAGAAAATACAATATGGCGATATTATTATATATACAAACTAGGTAATATTTGAGGGGTAGTTTCATCTCGTTGGAATTTGACTTTCAAAAAATCCGTTTGCCAAAAATAAGCTTTTTACGTCAAGCAGTTTAAGCAGAATCGTGGTTAATCAATTACCCAACTTTTTGGAACACCCTGTATGATTTTTTAAAAAATTTCAAAATATGTAAAAAAAATTAAATAAATTATGCGTGTCCAAGCGTTTTCCCGAAAGTTTAATAATTCTAATAAAACTAACCTTTTTTTAAATAACAAATATTGTAATATTTGAGGGGCGTTTTCACCCTCTTGGAATTTGAGATTCGAGAAACCCCTCCTTATCGAACCTCTACACCCCACAGTCAATCCGTTTGTCAAAAATCAGCTTTAAACATCAAGCAGTTTAAGCAGAATCGTGATTAATCAATGGTCATATTTTATGACACACCCTGTATACATTTTTAAAAAATCTTAAAATATGTAAAACAACAAAATAAAATATACGTGTTTAAGAGTTTTTCCGGAAAACTCACCGGTTTTTAAATGAAAAATATTCTAATATTTTGAGGGGTGGTTTCACCCCCTTAGAATTCGAGTTTCAAAAAATCCCTTCTTAGCGAACCTCTACACCCTAAAGTCAATCCGTTTTCCAAAAATCAGCTTTTTACGTCAAGCGCTTTAAGCAGGATCGTGATTAATCAATGACCAGATTTTTCGAAACACCCTGTATACATTTTTAAAAAATTTTAAAATATGTAAAAAAATAAAATAAAATATACGTGTTTAAGCGTTTTTTCGGAAACTTGACTGATTGTTTTTTAAATAAAAAATATTGTAATATTTGAGGGGTGGTTTCTAGGGATGGGAAGACCCGGTTCATTCCCGTGACCCGTGTCTCACCAGGTCATTCATTGAAATGACCCGTTCATCATGATTCGTTCATATGAATGATCGCTTTACTGTGTTTCAGTGTAACTTATTCAGAACATTCGAAACTCGGAACGCTGAATGAAATGATGCATGAATGATTTTATCTTAATCATTATATGAAGAAATATTATCGCGATCGCGATGACGCGATGCCTAGCGTGATTAACTAATAATGTGAAAACAATATAAGACGTAAATTACGGTAAATTAGATATTAAAATGCGGCTCGGATGTTTGCATTGATCATTGAACGGATCGGGGTTTAATACAAACGACGCAACGCGACGCGATACGTGAAAAGAGTTCGTTTGGTTCGTTTTTCATTTTAATCTTCAATGATCCGATCGTTATTTTAGGTTCAAATTCAGTAAGACACGCAGGAGAGGATTTTGTGTTTCGGGTCACGTGAGGTGACCGAGTCAATCACGGGTCTTTCTAAAGATTCGATCATTGTGAACGAATCATTCGCGAACGACACATCTCTAGTGGTTTCACCCCCTTGGAACTGAAATTTCGAAAAATCCCTTCTTATCGAACCTCTACACTCTAGAATCAACCTGTATGCAAAAATTGAGCTTTTTATGTTCAGTGGTTTGAGCAGGACCGTGATTAATCAGTATGTCAGTCACTTTTGACATACTGACTTTTGTCACACACGATTTTATATATTAAGTATAGATAGGAAAAGAGAGTTTTTTTATAATTTTTACAGTTATCTTTCGATTTATCATAAGTTTTTAAACAAGTTGATTTTTTTATTTAAATCCATGATTAAAATAAAAAAATCCGTTGATTTACATACATACATCATTGCATCCTGTTTTACTATAAAATTCTCATTACCTCTATACTGCTGCTGCAAAAACTCTACCGAGTTCATATTCATTTCTAACTGATCTACGTGGTGCTGACTAAAATATCCGAATTTAAGATTCCTGTGAACATGCCTTGTTCCCGCGCTCGGGCTTAAAATTCCCATTATGATTTTTAGGAGCGTGGTTTTACCTGCACCATTATCACCAACCTATAAAGTTTTTTTTTTGGATTTAATATATATAAATCTCTAAAAGAATAATTAAAAATCTTACTATACAAATCCTAGAGTCCATGGTCGCGCCTATATTTACATCGGAGAAAATAATTTTATTTTTACTATAATAAAACGTAACTTCGTTCAGTTGTAGAATGGGGGGAGACAGAGGTTCAGTTTCCGGTAACCTTAATACTACCTCTGGTTCTTTAACTATTGGTTTCAACTCAGGCCTACAAATAAAAAATATATTAACATCCAAAAAGAGTGACAAAGTTATAAAATGTACTTACATTTTTTCCAACATCTTTATTTTTGATTGGACTAGAGCAGCCCTGTTTGCATTATATCTAAACCTAAAATAATGATTAATTATAAACTATATTATATTTCTTGCTATTTAAAGATTTCAACAAACCTGTCAATAAATTCTTGCACATGTTGCCTTTGCTGTAATTGCGCCTCATATTCTCTTTGTTGATTTTTCATTTTCTCGTTTTTAGTTTTTTCAAATTGTTCATAATTTCCCCTATACGCCTCTATTCTTTGAGAGTGGAGGTGTAAGATATCTGTAGGTACAGAATCTAGGAAATTACGGTCGTGAGACACTACCAAAAGAGTGGTAGGCCAATTTTGCAAGTAATTTTCTAACCAAATTATAGCTTTGATATCCAACATGTTCGTAGGTTCATCTAGTAACAGAAGATCTGGCCTAGAAAAATATCATTTTTAACTAGTAATATGATTAATAATGGCCACAGAATTAAAATACCGAGAAAACAATGCCCTAGCTAATGCCAATCTCATTCTCCAACCACCCGAGAAGGTTTTTGTAGCATTCTGTTGCATTTGTGGGGTAAAACCTAAACCATTAAGTATAATTGACGCTTTAGCTGGAGCTTTATCAGCCTCAATGTTTTGTAATTGAACATAAACTTCTGAAAGTTGTGTGTTAAGATCAGGATCATTGGACCTGAAAATTATTTTATAATTTAGGTTTTGTCATAGCATATAAATGTTACCCTGAATTTATAGCAGCACTAATTTGCTTTTCTTTTTCCAATAAACTTTGTCTCACTGTGTCACATTCTAAAACACTGTCTAAGGCTATCGTATTATCACCAATAACCTGAAATAGTAAACAAAAATAAAACCTTATCTAGTCCAAACTCTGATACTCTACCTCTTGTTCAACATGAAGAATTGATATGTGGGATGGTATTTTTAAATTTCCTGACGATATCATTTTTAGTAAGGTACTTTTTCCTAGTCCATTTCTTCCTACAAGACCGTACCTCCTTCCATAAGCTAGAGTCAAGTCTGCTCCTTGTAAAAGAACTCTAACAATAAAAAGTAATAAGCATTTAGATAAACTTTAACAATATACATTTTATTGAATAACTTCTCTCACCTGTCTCCATAAGCAATATCGAAATTTTCTATTCTAATATCTTGTGCCCTATTATTTCCCTTGGCCTCCAGTTTACTTTCCTTTTTATTAATAACTTGAGATGCTGAAGCTGTTTGCAGTTTTGGAGCTGCAACAGTCCTTATTTCCTTACCCCGTTTTTCTTGCTTTTCCTGTAATTTGGCTTCTGCTTTCTCCAATTTTTTTGCATTTACTTTCTAAAAATTGTTATTTTTAAACAGTAAAATGCATTAGTAAATACTATTACCAATGTATCATCTCTCTGTGCTACCCAAATACTTTTTATTTCTTCAACATTAGACCCTGCATTATCAGCAATTGACCCTAAATGAATTGGACCATCAAGAATTTTTAGAGAACCGTTGCTCTTCGCACTCCTTTCTGGTCTTAGCATGTTTAATAGTTCATTGCATATATTCCTAGAATATATAATGTTAATCAATCACACGCGAATTAATAGTCATAAAAACCTACTTTATGTCGTCTTCAGTTTTATCCGAGGAAATTTCATGGAGAACTTCTCCGACTGCTTCATAAACTTCATCGCTGTCTTCAAAATCATCAGCACCATTCTCCAAAACACCTTCAACATTTTGCTATTTTTTAAACTATAAAACTTACGAAATATTTAAATCACCTTCGACATATTGCCTCAAATCCTCGTCAATTGATGGAAACACGTTTTTAATATATTCATTAAAGGTCCCCATCGCAATTATATTATTTATCAATAAGGATAATCATAAATATCCTAAAAAAGTAATTATTAACCTTACATCTGAAAAAAAAATTTGACACATTTATTAGATTAAAAAAAAAGGTGAAAGGTTAATGAAATGTCATCTGTGGTAAGACTTTCTTCGTTTAAAATATTTATGGCTATTGGCGAATAAAAGAAATCGTTTCGTGGTACTACTAGGAATTGCAAAATATCACAGCACAGAGCATTTGTCCAGTTTTCGGTAAAGGTGTGGATCCGGTGGCTGACCTTGAAGCCCATATTTGCTGCATTTGATCATAGATACTACGCAAGCGCACATCGTCGATGTTGCCAAATTGCAGTTTATTTTCGAATTATTTGCAGTTGAAAATTTTTTTTCAGTGTTAATCAATAATAATACAAATTCTATAATTAATTTTATAATTTCAGATTTATCTTGATATCTAAAATTAAGGAATGATATATAAAATTGTAATAATAATAACATTTATTTATATATTTACATTAGAATTAAAAATTATCATTTACGGATATTTTCTTAATGGTTTTAAACTTATTAGAATTATTTTATTTCTTTCAAGTTATTTAATTTCTAGTTATTTACAGGCAACAATAGTTTTGATTATATGTACTGATGTATTGAAGTACTACCATGACGAGTCTTATAGAACAATACACGTCAATGGGAGATAGAGGTAACATTTTACTGTGATTTTACCTATAATTTTACTAATATAATATACTTTAATTATAATGTTTGTATCAAAATTTCTTAAAAATATCAAGTTAGTGGATTAATAGCAATTTTAGACATATATTTTATCGAAGAGTGTGGTGATAAGACTAAAATAAGCTTTATGTTTTATCTTTTTCTCTTTAGAAGGGAGATGGTTTGTGTCGTAGAATACATTACAGTATTTAATATCGTGTACTTTGATATTCTTTTCTTAATCTACTGTAATTTCTTGTTTCCTATAATGCCAAATCTTGACAATATGGTGAAGGTTGAGTTTTGATCTTCTTAGTTTTATACCTGTGTTTATACAAGACCAAATTAAGACTTAGTTAGTTTGTGATTTATATTAAGATCTTTCTTATAATATTTGTTATGTCTTAATCTTAATACTATATTATGCTTTGTCTGGAAAATAAATGTTCAAATATCTTAATTTTGCATATCCTATTCCATCCTTCCATTAGGAAAAAAATATGGTTTATAAATCATATATGCTAAGAAAATCACATAAATTAGGTGTAAGAATAGAGAAATCTTAAGGTAGCAGAAAAATGCAATATATGTATAAGCAGAATTAAACGAGGTAATTGTTAATGTTGCTGAAGCTGATTCTACAATTTTAATTACGGAAGTTAAAAGGCCTTTTAAGGCCTCCGTAGTTTTGATGGAATGTTAAAAAAACTATTATGAACATGACATGGAGCTACAGCATTTAAAAATTAAAAAAAAAGAAAAAACTTGGACACATCCCTTTTAATTTCCCGAATTTTTAATAAAGCCCTTTTTTAACGTAGCATAATAATCTAGAGCAATTAGATTAATTATAGGAATCTAGTGTTTTATTTCTATTTAATTTTATTGACTATGAAAATACATAATAAGCGTTTACGTGTTGTGCGAAATATTAAAATAATAATATAAATAATATACCGGCGTACTATGATTGAAAAAAAATAGCGTCGGCGATGACTATGAAAGCTGTCATTTTATATGGGAAATGTCCTCAAGTTTGTTCCCAACCAACTGAACGCCGTTTTTTCGATCATACGGTATATATTGACAAAAAAACACTGAAATGCACATATTTGTTTTCTACTGAAAATATTTCCAAAATAACTTGCAATCTGGCAACATCAAAGATGTACGCATGCGTAGTGTCTGTGACTATATGCAGCAAAAACTCGTTTCAAGGTCAGCCACCGGATCCACACCATTACCCAGTTTTCTTACTTTTTAAAGCGTTTTTCCGTTTTTGTACAACGAATTTATTTATAGAGAAGAAATATTTTAATTACTAATATCGATATTTTTTACTATATCGATCTGTCCTCAACATCTCTATTCAAGTGTCAAATTTCAGTTTGGTTAGTCTATGCCTAGATCATATATAAAATAAGGTATATATGATCTAAGTTGTAGTGTCAAAGCTTTTTTATTTTTTGTCAAAAGGTTAAAGATATTTTTGTTTGTAGATTTCGAATTCTTTTTGTCAACTTTTTGGCTTTTTTCTCTAGGAAGATTTATTAGAGATAAAAATAGCATCTTTGTGTGAGACGAATTACTTCTTTTCGTGTTAAAGAGTCATGATTATTCAGTGTGATAGTAAACCGGCGTTATAAGTTCCAGTATCAGTAATGGTAGATAAGTGTTTTGATAACTTATAACTGCTTATTTAATTGATTTTTTTCAGTCTTTGGACCCGGAAGCCACTAGTACTCCTACTATCGTTCCTCGTATACAAGGACGTAAAACTATTAGACCAGAAGAAAGAGATTCAGATTCAATACAGAGTCCTATAACTCCAGATAGCGTAAAACATTTTTATGAGACCAGATCAAGATCTAGGTACATGTATAAGAGATAATTTATACTAAGTCATTAGACTAATTACTAATTTTACCTTATAGTAATTTTTCTACATGATTTTTAGATCTTATGAAATATCGGGTTCCCCAACAAAGGCCAAGAATTCTAGAAGAAAAGATGTAAGTCCAAATCGATCTGATTCATCTGATTGTGATGGAACCGAAGAAGAGATTTATGAAGAAAATAAATTGTTTAAACCACATACTTATGCTTTACATAAGGAAACTGACAATTATGTGAAAGATAGTGAAAATAACATGTGGAAAAAATACACTTTACTTGCTTGTATAGTTGGAATTACTGGATTAATAATATGCTTTGCCAGTGGACATAATGTAGAACCTCGAATCAAATTGCCAGATATATGTGATTCTTTACATAAACTGTTAAAAACCCAAGATGCTGATTTTTGTCTTAATATTAATGTAACATTAGAAGAAATAGCAAATTTAAATCAGCCCAAAACAGTTATGTTTTTATATGAACATGACTCTGAACCGACACTGAACAAAATTATAAACAGCATTATTAAGTATTCTTTATGCTATTTAAGTGACTGTTCAAACAGTCCTGTTGTCTTAGAAGGATTGTCTTTGAAGAAATCGAAGTATGAAAATGATTATGGAAAAATTATAGCAGAAAATAGAGATAGCTTAAGTGAGAGTAAAGTCATGCTTGTCAGGAACCTAGAAAAAGTAGCTGGTGAATCAGCTCAAGCATTTCACAGTTTTTGTGATGATTACAATCCAGTGGTTCAAGGAGCTTTGATTATATTCACAATGGAAGTAGATGAATTGCCTCATGTTCAACCTCAAATTTTTGTTAGACAGACCTTGTTAAAATTGTGGAGTGATATTGGTAAAGATGATAAATTTGATCCACTTATAACTAGAATAGGTGGAACAGTTTTACCCATAAAGTCTGATTGATTATGTACTTATTTTATGTTTTATATATAAAAATAATATTGTTTTTTAAAAATATTTAAATTAAATTATTATGCTGTGAAGACTACTCTCTATTTTCTTTGAAATTTTTGTAGGACAATATTTTTAATTCAGGTGGTTCAGTTTGATTGTTTTCTTTAGGAACAAAAGCTTTTTGATAGTACAGATCTAGAACAAATAACATTTTAGATATTTTACTTAGCAATCTCTAATTTAAGAAGTTTTGTTTACAATTTTTTACTCAATATTTGGAATAAAATAATGTTTTAATTCTTTCCTTGTTTATTTTTCTTATATTTTTTGAGAATTACCTAGGCTATTATCGTTTGAGTACAATATACAATGATAGACGGTAAATTTATCATTTCATCAAAGGTGCATTGTTTTATTTCTTTTTTGGATCTTTTTTATCACATTCTCTTTCTGGGCTCAGGAGCAACCGGCATTTGATAAAATCAAGAGACTAAGTTCAACACTATAAAGTACTGGTGATCACCTAAATATTATAGGATGTCCAGCAAGAATGTATACGGTTTCGACAGACGTGCATTTAAAAAAATCTGATTTTTTTTTGCTGGACAAACTATACCTACCTTATAATAGAGATTTATTGCATACGTTTTTTGACTTATTTAATTATTTCAAATTATAATTAAACGTGAATAATTTAAATGTAATGTAAGATGATAAGTGTAATTATTTTCAAATATAAGAAAGGTTGGCTAAACGTTTATAACTTAGCTTAGAATTTTTTTGTAATTCATACAAAAATGTGTTTAAGTTTTCACCAAAAATGTTTGGATTGTTTATTACAATACCCTGTAGTACCCTGTAACGCTAATTTATTTTTTTTTGTGAAAAATATATTGCAAAAAGCGTAGAAAGCTTTTTTTAAAGAAATATTCTATCATAGAAGTAGCTACGATTTGAGCATTTTGATTCATTTTTTACTGAACTTTTATCAGATTGAAAGTGATTCTTGGATATTGAGATTTATTGGATTCAACAGAATAAGTTTTTGGATAGTGAAGCTAGAATGTGAGACAATTAACAGCGTGCTCTCGTTCGTAAATTGTCCCATTTTTTGTAGAATATTTCATAAGTACAGGAAGCTAGTTGAATTTGGTAATTTTTTTCGATGGTATTTTAATATATTATATTGAAATAAATTCGTTAACCAATATAATTCAATTTATCTTACTTTCTGTTGATTTATTTCTATGGTCTGCAAAAAAGGCTTCTGAGATTGTGCTTATAAAAGTTAATTTTAATAATTATTTATAATGTTACATATTTATTTTTAAATGTAGTAATAATTTGGCAAATAGTAGGTATTCTAATAATCATTTTTCAAGAACATATGAATTTTAAAATAAAATATACTAAATTTAAACTTATTATTGTATTTTTTTATTATTTGTTAGAATTTGTAATTATATGTTATATTAAAAATTATAATATTGAGGTGCATTTAAGATTAAAATAAAATCAAAATTAATGACGCGAATGTTTCAGCAGAGATGCATGCATCTCTTAAATTTTGGATGATAAATTTTCTGGGAAATGTGCTTAATTTTATCCTGGTCATTTACAGGGTGAAAAGTATATCCTGTTATAAAGCAAAACTTAATAATAATAAATGCAGTGGCGAAATACCCATAGGACCTTTTTGGAGAAATGTAGATATAAAAAAATCAAAAAATCTTAATTTCTATAATGGTACATAGTTTTACAAATTGTAATAAAATATAAATAGTAGTAACCTAATTACCTAATCAATAACGACTTTTAGGATGTATATATGTCTCAGATTGGGGACAGTCCCCGAATATGGAAACTCTATGTGAAATAACTTCGGTTTTCTAAATATTACTTTTAATATGTAATTTTGTAGAATGTTAAGACCTTCAAACTGTTTTGGATGCATTTCCCCACACTAGAATGCCATATCTCAGAATAGATTCAACAAATGTGACCTATATATTAGGATCAGCAGAGATGGGTTCATGAATTCTCTCAATAGATAAAACTTATAAATGAAAATTCTAACTGATTTTGCAACTTTATAAACGTGCCTATCCCATTTCAGATGTTTGTCAATTATAACTCCTAGGTATTTTACTTCGCTGACTCCTTGTATTCGTTTTGAGTTTTGGTTTTTAGTAATAGTGTCAAATTCAGGTCTGTTTTTTTCAGTCAATGAAAACGATACATAAAAAAATGTTTTTTTTTAAGTTTTGACCCCAGCCACACAGGTTGTAGGTCATATTAGCATCATCAGCAGATGATTTAAAAAAAAACTTTTTGTTTTAATCATCTGCTGATGATGCTAACATGGTTAGCGAAACGCGCGTCCAGTGTAAAAGTAAAAGTGTTTTGGTGTATTGTGGTGATTTAGTGTTTTATTTTGTTATTTTGTAGGTCATAGTCAAGATAAGCCATTATGATCCAGGCTCCCAAAAACCGAGCTGTTAACATCAACGACGCAACGATCAGCCTGAAAACGAAGGGTTTTGTGCCAGGTCCACCTTGTACATCCTACCCCAACGACCTTCCGCCTATCGATCTTCCTCGCCTACGTGGACGCCCTCGCAATAGCCCCAGCGCCCGCGCACCATCGCCACCCATAACAATCCCGCACCCGGCAGGAGCAGCTAGCAGCAGCGACCTGCTCAGCGATTAAGTGCTAATCGAAACATCCCCATCAAAAGCAGGTGTTTTCGAAGATGATATACTAGGTCCCAGGGCCAACCTCTAGGTAAGTCAACGTCCTTTGATATTTACCTCGTATTTATTCCATCTTATATCTATTTTAAAGTACAACGCAAAACATTCTAAGAGTCAAGCACCCACCTGTTTGTGTCTCCATTCATAACGTCGTTCCCAATATGGAATAGGGATACGAGACACTTGTTAGAAAAAATCATTTACTTTACTCACAATCCAAGAGTATATGATACACGTTTTATTATTTTCGTACAAAAATATACTCTAAAGTAAGTACGTGATAAAAAGAGTAAAAAACAACCCCTCCCTCTAGAGGACAAACTTCGATTTATATCTTTGACGTCAAAAATATATAATAATCGCAAGATGGTGTTTTTCATCCACCCCCTTGATCGTAGAGTACAATAAAGTTAAAGAGAATATAAGAAGAAAATTATTATCAGTTTTTTTTGAACGTATAATTTATATTGTTATCGTTTTGTATTACGTGTGTTAAGTATTTATTAATTCTTTTAATCTTAACGATATACTAGGCGATAAGGTGTAAACGCAATTTGGATATTAGTTATACAATGATATATTTAGATTACGAGTGATAACGATGTTGTATTAGGTATATTGACCTGATAATGATTATGATTAACTTAATAATGAGTACGAATATTTTGAATATTATTTAATGATTATTGAGAAATTTAAATGGTGTTTGTAATTTTGGTTTAATTATTTTTTTCATTTAAATGTGTAACATAATATAATATAATCTATAAGTTTCATCGAATCTGGTTGATATTGGAATTAAATATAATTTAATTGTATATGATAGACGTTTTATTTTTGGTGGAGCAGATTTAAAATTATAAACTTCAACCGATTTTTGTTGTTATTTGTGCGAATGACGTTATCATAAATATATATTACGTATTTTTAATATCAACGACACACTAGGAAACAAGAAATAAATAAATCAATAAGTAAATCATTATGGATATAACATTTTCAATAGTAAACAGGGTGTTTCGAAAAACATGTGGCATTTCTCGTGGGGAGGTTCCTCACGTAAAAATAAGGTTTATTTTTCATATCACCATACGTCCGATTCTGCTCTGTTTCGTTGCTACAGAGTGATAAAGTCTTAATAATCTTTCAATTTATTATAATTTTTTTCCAAATACTTTTAGTGATTCGAATGAAATTTTGAGGGTAAAAGTTACTATAAGTCCGATAAATTCATGGGACGTGCATATATAGGTTATCAATGGAATATTTTTCAAAAAAAAACATGTGCGCTACTGACTTTTTTTTTTATATCAAAATTGTGTAGGCCGTTTAATGCCAATTAAAAGTTATCTCTTGATATTTTGTCGAATTCGGCCTCCTTGATGAGATAAATGCAATTTTATTGATCACAATTAATAAAATTAAAATAAAAATAAAATTAATAAATTACCTATATATTTTACCTAATTTATTATTAAATATTATTACTATTAGCTATTATTACTATTAGTCCAACCTACAGCAATTTGAAATAAAAAAAATATTATATTTAAGAATATTACAAAAAAAAATATTTTAAAAAGATTTTTTTTAACTTATTTTGAACTATGCTATTTCATTCATACCCACGATTATAGGAACTTTTTTCATATTTTTTGACGACGAATCAACGAGTACTTATTTAAAACTTTCGCAAGTTAATGACATTATTTTTTTTTTAAGATTGCTGTTAGACTTGGATCAAGGCAAATTAATAAAATTGCGTTTATTTCTTCAAGGAGGCCGAAATCGACAAAATATCAAGAGACAATTTTTAATCGGCATTAAACAGCCTACGAAATTTTGATATCAAAAGAAAAAAAGTCAGTGGCGCACATGTTTTTTTTTAAATCTTAGAGTTATAATTAAAGTAATAATAGGTGAAAGTGATACGTAGCACTTATAGTAACTTTTACCCTCAAAATTTCATTCAAATCACTATTTGGAAGAAAATTATAATAAATCGAAAGATTATTAATACTTCAACACCCTGTAGCAACGAAACAGATGTTTTGTGCATATTACTTTTGATGGAATAATGACAGGTGACAACTACATAATTTGATTAAAACCAGAAGTTATCTCTGATTAAAACCGTCATTATAAAATGTCAATATTAAAAACCAGAATGGGGAAGTAATTGTACTGGAATTATATTTTGGTAAGATATCTAATTTCTAGAATTTTATTTATTTGTTACTATTTTAAAAACTAATAGTACTTAAAAATAGAAAAAAAACAATTAGTTTTTCTAATTTTTGATTACATGTTTTAGTAGGTAGGTAAATTATTGTATTAGATAAATATGTTTAATTAATGTTAACAATACACCCTGTATTGTGGAGGAAGTTGATAACAGAACATGGCGTATATGCTTTGAAGATAAATAAGGGACATTAGCATTGATTCGAAAACAGTTCGAAGCCAGTCGAACTGGGACAATGCTAATAAATGGCAGTAACAACGGTAATGTGCGGGTGTTTATGTCTGCTATAATAAAATACGCACGTGTGTTTGGACATAATATTATACAACGGGTTTTATGTGTTTTTAAGTGTTTGATACGAGATAATGGAAAACCATATTATTTATTTTGAAAATTATTGCTGACAGTAAGTTAAAATAAGAACTATACACAGTATGTGCCTAGATCATCTTTACAAGAGAAATAACTTTTATTATTATTTATTTATTTTGTCTCAATTGGGTTATTACAATTCTGTTTATACATACATTTTCAATTTTTTTTACCGTTTGAGAAAAAACAAATCATTAACTTCTTCATTCAGTAACCGGAATATAAATATTACATATCTTAATACTTTACAGGGTGGTCCGAACTGTATTTCGGAAACTTCGGCAGCATATTGTGCAGATAAAAATAAGTAAAAAGTTCGTATAAATGTATGTCCTAAAATGCTTAGTTTCGGAGATACAGGGTGTAGAAGTTTCATTTTTATTTCGATTTTTAAATACCTGTCGTCATTTCTAAAGCTTCATTCAGATCGTCAAAATTAGTGGAATAAATTAGTGGTTTCAGTTAGCGGAGAAGTTTTTTATTCTAATTTCAATGTAAGCATTCAGAATGTTAAAATTAGTGGTAGTAATTTTCAGTTAGTAGAAAAAGTTAATAAGCTTTTAAGTTTTTTTACTAATTATAGTTCAAAACTTGCGACTAATGTCATTTTGTATTTTGAGTATCCTCCGTCAAGAGAAATTGTGGTTAGAAAGAAAAAAGTGTATTGTTTTATAAGCTAATTATTAGGTTTTCTTTGTGGATACAACTGACTACCGCAATTTTTTTCAAAATGTTAATAATAAAAAAGTTTTTTCTTTTATAAAGACAATCCGGGGACATCCTGTACAGATATGAACCATTTTTAATTCTACGTCAAATGAGCTTTTCAATCTGACAAGTCTATTACAAGTAGAGTATTTTGTCGAGACATCACTATATACAGAGTGACCCACCTCATTCGCCTCGGTTGACTATACGAAAACGGAAAGATGTAGAAATAAAATATTTTATGAGTATGTGTGGGGAGACAATGTGCAAAATTTAAAATTATTTTGAAATATACAGGGTGTTTCAGAACTAAGATCCATACCAAAGTTATATTTTTTCTTATGGAACACCCCGTATTTTATTTCATTTTTGGATTCTTGGGCCCAAAAAAGACATTTATTATAAGGATTAAATATGTTCAAAAATTGCTGCTCTATTTTAAAAATATAAATTACATAAAAACCTTGTTATTTCAAATACAATACCCTGTATTTTTTAAATAAATCGCAGCAGATTCAAATGCTCCTTCAAACTATATTAGGGTTTCCTATACCGATCTAGCTCAGATTTTGAATAAAGAGCAATTTTTCAGTAAAATGGAAACAAAGAGGGCTAGTGTCGTCATGGCAAGTTTCTAATGACAGTAGCTATTTTAAAAATCGAATTTAGTTTATGGACTTATTTAAATTTATACCAGTTTACTTTTATTTAATTTACCTACAACAGTTTAATAAATAATATTTATTAAATATGTATTTATTATTCTATCAAGAAAGACGAAGAAATAGTTCTTTGATTTATTTTACGATGACTTGTAGAGATATGGATTTTCTTCGAAAAGAGCTAATTACGGCAAATTCATTTTCTTCACTACTAACGACAGGTTTCTGCCTAATAAGTTTTCTATAAACCACACTACAAGCTCTGCGAATCCAAAAATAAAATAAAATACCGGGTGTTTCATAAGAAAAAAATATAACTTTGGTATGGATCTTACTTCTGAAACACCCTGTATATTTCAAAATAATTTTAAATTGTGTACATTGTCTCCCTACATATACCCATAAAATATTTTGTTTCTACATCTTTCCGTTTTCGTATAATCAACCGAGGCGAATGAGATGCGCCACCCTGTATAAACATGAAGTAAAACTGTAAAATACGATGAGATACCACCATATTTATTTAGGAAATCCTTAATAGTAAATGAACATAAAAGCGCTATTAAGCTACCTTAACGTTATTATAATCCATAATGACCCTTTTTACTATAATCCATAAAAACTTGGAAAAGCTTGGTATTTTTTAGTACATGTAATTTAGTACAAGTATCATTTAGTACATGCAATTTTCATTTCATATTATCGCTATATTTTTACTATATTTTCTCATTATGTTTTTAAAATTGTTTTATAGAGAGTTTTTCACATAACTGGATTAGATATACAATCCTTATTGTCAAATAATTTTTTTGTGAGCATGTTGTGTTTTAAAAAAGTGCTATATTTCATTTAATATTTTGCCGATTTTGATATATTGTATATTGAGTATTGATGATATTATTACTATAGAAGAAGTTTTCATAAAAACGCTTTTCTTTACAAGCTGAACTTTATTCAAGGGTTTCACATATTTTTCGTAATTTCATCATAATAAAAAAAGGTTATTTCGAAAGTTGTCGATACTAAAGCGAGATAAAAAGAGCT